ACAGATGCCTTAAAAAAACAGGGAAAAGTACTCAAAGGGAAGGAAGGTGCCAGTTTTGGGAAACACAATGAAATGGATGGGCTGCAGTCACAGGCTTCAAAAAAGATAAGGTAAAAGGAAGCTGCAGTGACACACACTCCTCTATAAAGTAAGCTTATTGAGTAGTTACCTGATTCTGTTGCTAAATGGTGACGTATCAACTGGCTTAACAGAACTGCTCCAATATTTCTTCTCTAAATTTCACTTTCTTCCTTATAGGGGTTCCAGTCCTGCATCTGATTCCATCCCCTTTTCCTGCAGTATGGCACACCATGGAGGACACAGAAGAAAACCTTGACAAAACCACTATCGACAACCTCAGCAAAATCCTGCAAGTGTTTGTACTGGAATATCTAAACCTGTGATAGACAAAATGGCAACAAATCGTACTCCATTCTACATACTGTTCGGCCACCTTCACATTTGCTATTGAATTGCATTGGAGAGCACTAAAGTGAAGCAAAATATAATGATAGCTCTTGCTAGACTGATTATTGATTCAGCTGTTCCTGGCCCAATGTTCCATGTAGCCAAATAAGATGGCATGAAATAAGAATTACTTTCAGCCTGGAAAGAATTTGATCTTTCCATGTCTTACCTTTGAATAAAAAAAAAAAAAACCAGTATTTTCCCACATTGTTATCACTGTTTTATGTGACATATTAAGATCCCAAGAGGGAATGCCTCCCGCCTTCAGTGTTACCTACAGTTTTTACAAGGTGTGATCAACTGGTGCAGTGTTCAGCAATGGAAATTTAGACATTATCAAAAGAGACAAAAATCACACTTAAACTTCTCCTTTGGGTTGAACTAAACTGAAATGAGTTGCTAGAACTCCTGACACACAGAAGGGATTTTTAACTCTCTGCTCCTTCCCCTAGAAGAAGAGCTGCAAGGGCTCTTGCCTGCAGACAGCAGGCCACCAGGAAGCAGAGAAATAACCCAAATTCAATCTTCTCCTTGTCGTTTGTTGGACACTTTTTGATGGAGATGGGTGGTGGGGACTCATGCTAAGAGGAAGGTATGGGGAGTGTGGGGGGGAGTGTTCCATTGTGTTCTGACTGCAACACAGCAGATGTAAGCAGAAGAGTAGGTGGTGTGTGGGAGCAACGCCCCAGCACACACCATTCATTCATGTGAGAATCATTCACAGTTTGACCCACAATAAAAAAAATATATATATACCTGCTGGTTTTAATAGAGATTACATCAGAAGTAATCATAGGAAAGCAATCACTTTAGAAATTATAGTTTTATATAATTTTAAAGGCAAAGTGCTATCTATCAAAAGTATAATATGAGAGTCAGAAGCAAGAAGACAGTTTAAGCACCAAAAAGTAAGGATGAGCTGTAGCCTAGATCAGAAAAAGATACTCACCAGTTTAACAGCCCTGTGCTTTCACATTCCTTACTGCAATTATTCAATAAATTTAGTGTAACACTCTAGCAGAAATCTAGCCTGGAATGAAATCAATAGAAGACAGAAGAACGGTATTCAAAAGCTACCTACAGAATTACTGGTGAGAAAAAGATGATAGCGTTTGAAGAAAAAAAAAAAAAAAAAAATCAAGCTGGTAGAGGATGAACTGAGGAAAACCAAGTCAGTATTTTACTGCTCTGAACTTCTTCCATTAGGAAGTTCTATCCTGGGCAAAAGGAAATAGGCTATGGGGTTTTAGGCATGCCACATTTGGCCTATATTTTACCATTTTCCTAAAGCAAACATTTTTGAACCTAAGACAGTATTTACATACACTATTTAAAGTCTCAACAGAAATACGTATTTACAGCAATGCAAATTTGTAAAATTTTACTATTACAGGACTGCCTGAAAATGAAATTCAGTCTAGTTTTGTTGCTTAAGATGAAACAAAACCATTTTATGTTTTCCCATCATTTTAACATTTGTGAGAAAATGCAACCTCTGAAATAGAATACAATGAAAATTCTAAAAATTGGACAGATGTGTTTATTTTCAGATATTACTGTACATCCATGTAACTACATCAAAGCTATTTGAACTTTATGCTATCATATTTTCCTCTACTTCAGCCCATGAGAAAACATTCTAAACTACTAAATTAAATCTTCCGAAGTTCGAATACTCTGAGCAGTATAAGGCACCAACTGCACCCTCCTAAATGGCAAAAAAGGGTAACAAAATGGCTACATACAGAAACATTAAACATGAGTTTGTGTGGCTAATTTCATTTTTATAGGTGAATTTTTGTGGTACTTCATACTATGCAGGGCCTCTGAAAAATGCTTTATGCATTTGCAATGTGCCAATCTGCTTCTTCAAGAATTTGAAAGTTAACTTAAAATAGGATTCATTGTGTCGTGTGGGATCAAAGGGTTCTTATAGCTGGGAAAATCCTGATTTTTTAAAATCTCTATTTAATAGTTAGTTGAAACCATAATTTAACCATGTAGTTTACACCAAATCGCTGGCACATCAATTTTGTCACCAACTTCTCACTGCTTGAGCACACAGTTCTCTTGAGTTATGTTTACTCAGTTCAAAGAAAGAAGATACAGGTTGGTGTAGCACAATTCAACGGTTCCCAAAACACGAGGAAAACATGAAAAGGCTTGCCTTTTTTTTTTTTCCCCCCTTGGTTTTTTGTGCAGTTTTGGGTTTGTTAGGTGGTTTGTTTTTTGGCATGGGAAAAGGCGGCTATCCCTTAACTGGATGCAAGCCCTGGGAAGGGTTTACCTGAAGAGAGGAGGTTCATCATCTTAGCAATTTATATGATCTATCATTCACGTAAAAAATAACTGCTGGAAGGAAAACTTACATCACGCCAGTAACCACGTGAATCCAAGAATCTAAGTTCCCGAAAGCACAAGAACCTGAAGCAGTCAGTAAAGCAAAGACATGGTGCAAGGTGGGTTCTCACTGCTACTACGGCAGAGGAGAACAAGCAGGTAGGAGAAAGTCTAGCCATTTGATAAAATACCTAGAAAACAAAAAATACAAGTGAAAAGACCAGTACTGGTATTTCTTCCACTCTCAGTTTCAACATGGAATATCACTAAGTATCCCGATCCATAGGAGCTGGATATGCACAGTACAGAGCATCACTTCAGAATTCAGAGACAGGCTGTATGCTGAAGAACCTACCCCTGGATAGTTTCTCTGTCTCTCTGTTGGATGGTGGCAGCAGGAGACAGAAATCAACTGAGGGACTTCAACTAACTTGGTAATTACACAGATCAGCAGAATCGCTGCACAGGTTGTCTCCTTGAATAGAATTTGTCACATCTCAGTCAATGGGCAGGGGCGGGGAGGAAAAGACTCCATCTACCACCCATAGAGGCTGTTGCTGGCTTATCAGAGTCCTCCTAAAGGTGTATGTGGTTATTTCCTGGGTGAAGGAAACATAGAACAGAATGAACTCAAGAGCCATTATTCAATAGGTGAAGCTGCACACCCCCCCATATTACATTAGTTATTTGTATTGTAGTAGGCACTCTAGCTCCTTTTACATCAGGACAATGCAGTTTTTCCCAAGAATCTTAAGCCTAAGTAATGGTACACACCCCTCAAATTCTCTAAAGCTCGATGTATTTACCTACAAGTGAAGTGATCCTACGCAATCACAGTTGGAACAAGTTAAGGGAGTAACAGTGCCAAATCCTCTGGCAGACAGAAATGACAGTGAGTACCAGCCCTTTTTCCTCTAGCTGGGCAACATTCCTATCACCAGGAATGAAGACGATATAAATTAGCAATTCTTATTCACCATAGTTCAAATAAACATTCAGATTGTGACCACCTGATAGCAAAATACAATTAAAAAAGACAAAATGCAGAATGCAGTAAAAATGTTTTCTGTAGAAGTATCACAAGGACCCAGTCTACATTTGTAGCAGACCCAGAAAAACAGTTCTAAAATTTCACACATCTGCTCATTGAGATTGAAGTTATCACCCGAGAGCATCACTTAAACAATCAATATATATAAAAAGATAACTATAAAATCTTGCACACAAATTACCACTTTTTCCTTGTCATTTAAGGATGACGCTGATTTTATTTTCCTCGTATAAAAGGAGACATTTTACTCTGTGCCGATTTAACAAATATTCTTAATATATTCATAACAATAAAGCAGCTAAAAAGCTGTTCTAATCTCTAAAAGAATCTTTATCATCTGCATATATGAGATATATTGTAAACAATCACTCCAAAAAATAATTTTGTTAAAGTGATTATATTGCACTCAGAATTCTGGGAATCTCATTCTCCCTTCTCATTTTAAATCAAAGATCAGCTTCACTTTTTAATAAAATGGAGCTTTAATTGTCTACTAAAAAACAAGTAGGCATGCAGTCACTATAATACAATGTATTTAAAATGTCAGAAAAAGGGCAAGCGTTTGTTTATGAAACTGGAGTAAGGAACAATCCTCAGGTAGGCCACGTGAGAGTAGTATGTTGTAAACGTTCCGCTGGCTCTAAGGTGTTGCAGATGCTGGAGAGTGCGGTCCCGCTCAGCACCCAAGAGGTACAGAGAACCTGTTCAAGTGTTCTGTACTTCAGTGAATTTCCATGCAGCGATGGCACGTGTAACAGACTACACGTAAAGACAGAGTAATGAAACAAAGGTGATTATTGAGCTAATACTGACCTCACAGAAACACAGCCAATTGTTCGAGTTCACCATAATCTTTAAATGTGACTTTTCCAGGTCATTACATTTTCTAACACAGCAATGAAACCATTACTCTTGCTGCAAATGAAGTACAGAACTAGACTCCCTACTTGTAGCTTACATGGACTGTATACCAGTCTGGACACTACCCTCAGCCTAAAACATCCCGGCAAGATACCATTACACAGAACATCACCTTGCTGCGTTTGCAAGAGCGATGCCCTCCTCCATGCGTCAGAGCAAGAAAGGCAAGTAGTGGAGGAAATTAAAAATTAAAAAAAAAAAAAAAAAAAAAAAAAAAGGAAAACAAAGTCCTTATGCAGAAAAAGAAATCCTCAGCCAGTGTGGAGAGGCCACAGGTCTTGAAAATTCAAATGAAGGCTGTTTTTTCTCAACTCAGTTCTACAGGAGAAAGATTTCTCTATCGAACCCATTATCTTCAGGTAGCATGAATACCTTTGGAGTCCCTGAGATACTACAGCTCCATATAACCACCTTGGACAAATGGAAAGACTTAGTACACAGACTAACAAGGTGGAAGCCAATATATAGCACCCTGAGTTGCACGTAAAACAATAGGGATGGGCAACCCATTCCCCAACAGCCAAGAGATGCAGAAGGAAGTACAGAGGAGGTATTGGCTAGGGAATGAAAAGATACATACTGCACAGGAGAAGAGGGAAAAAAAAAAAAAAACCCCCAACTTCTAAAAGGCCTTTCCCTATTACCAACGCAGAGAAGAAAATTTTTTAGGAAGAGCTCTCTGAGAAAGGCCCTGAAGAAATATGGCCTTCTAGACGTACACTAGAATGATAATGCAAAAGCAGAGACAAGTTTGGCAGTCTTGTTCCAAGTATGCCCCGAAGGTTAAGCACTCTAGCAATGACTTGAGGAACTGTCAGTGATCACTGACCTCTGGATATAAACCAGGAATATAAATAGTTATTTTTCCCCTGAAACTACAGAAAAAATACAAAGAGGAAAAATACAAAGTCACAATCGAATCAAAGAATACTTTCCATAGTCAAAAATGAAATAACTGGCTTCAGAAATAATACAGCCATCTGCTCTGTATCTTAAACAGGGTTAATTGTAAAAAAGAGGTGCTTGTAAAATCTGAAGTTTAAAACATTTTATTTCCCAGTATATTGCTAAATAATTTTGCAGTTAAACCAAAAAGGAAGAAATATCAGAGATGAATACGGAATATTTACAGCTAGAAAATGGTTGCTGAACCATCTGAATTTCTATAAAAGCATCAATAAAAATATAAAAACATGGTCTCACAAAATTAATTAGAATCTGAAATGCCAGATTGTCTTCGTAATGGCCACAGTATGAATAAAGATGGATTTTTGCAACCAAAAACTAATTGTGACTTTGCCAAAAGATGGCTTAATACGGCAATCAAAACAGCTCCAAAAACTGGGACTTGTATTTCTGCAATTTTCTATTCTCTCAGCTATTCAGCATTCAGTAAGCAATCCCCATTAGAATAAAAAAAAAAATATGCTACCTGGGTCACAAGTTTACTCCCTTACGGAGTTGTGCTCTATCTCAATACATTCTTGGCAAAATAAAGAGAAGTGAAGAAAAAGCTGAATAGAAATAGACACTCTATAAAAACAACCTGTACAGTACCATAAGTCTGGAAAATATTTGTGGCATTACACAGGCTACTGCTGATGCAAAGAAAAAAAACCCTGCAATTTAACCATTTCATGAATATGAACAATGCACTTGTTCCCAGCCATTTAGAATGATCTGACATTCCAAATGTTTATAAAAATTGGGTAATAAAAGAATTAAGTCAATACCCTTAAGTACAATAAATAATGGTGTTTATTATGGTCGGGGTTGCCCACGAGTGTTTGTTCCATATCTGCTTGGGACATTTGTAAAACCAGTTCTGAATCCTTGAGTTGCTCCCATTCCCGGTATTCCGAATCCTTGATTGAGTACACTGCTGTAGGGTGCAGATCCATGATTAAAGCCCAATCCATAGGGCCTTGTCTGAGTGTTTAGAAGAATGACTGGACTCACATTTTTGCCCGGTGTATTAAAAGAAAATTCTGGCGGTGGGCTGCTGGGCTTAGCTGGAGTGGATGTAACAGGGTTCAAATTATCAGCAGCTTTCAAAGATGGCATGGGAATAATATGATGATCTGAAAGGTTCAGCATATTGTTTGCAATAGGCACAGATGATAAGGTCGGTCTGATCCAGTCATCTTTGAAAATCTGAACAGTCAAGGTAGAGACCAATGTGTATAATCTGTTAGTGACATGAGCAAGTACCATTTGTTCATTTGCATCTCTCCGAATTCGGACATGTACTGATCCGGCCTAGAAAGTGATAAAAATAAGTTGGCTGTTAACTGTTACTTCAATAAAGGTTCTCCACGTGCATTCAAGAAGAGGTAAGTTACCCTGCAGAGAGTTATGCAAAGACCTTTTGCAGTGAAGACTACTGACTAAATTGAGAAACTTATTAAGTAATTCCATAATTAGGATATATTTTGATCTTTCCTTATGTGTTGAACTCTTATGAACATATCAGGATCACCATTCAAGAAAAGCGAGTCTTAAAACCAAACTGTAACATACAACATATGATGGCATGAAAGGCAACAGCTGGGAAAAATAAGTGGCCCAAAAGAAGACAAACTCTATATGCCAAATTTAGGAAGAAGTGCCACCACTGTGTTGTTGGAGCAGGCAAGAGGACAACACACATGGCACACACTCAAATTGGGACCATTAGCAAGAACAGAGGCAATGCCTCTTGTGGAAACCAAGACTCAGTTTTTTCTGGACATGCATGTAACCACGGGCTGCCCCTGCCTTCCTCTCAGTAACACTATCTCATTTACCTTGAACTACTGCTGCGGAAGAGAACAGTACACAAAACAGAGCCCCTCACATGCTTTTTCAGTTCATACTTAGTAAAGAACATGGCTCACAGCTTGTGCTATATGAGCCATTTTTTACATCAGATGGCGCAGCTGAAAACATATCCAGGTCTCAGGAAGTTTCTACGACAATCCAGAAGATGCCAATAGGCAAAACAGGCATACAAAGGTTTTGTAAATATCTGTGATCCATCCAACAATGCTGTGATCCAGTATTTAGGGTGGCAGAATAGTAAACTGAGAGCTATTTTCACATCAGCAAGTCAGAGCTGCTGCCTTTTTTTTTTTTTTTTTTTTTTTTTTAAGAAGGGTAGAAAACTGGAAGAATTCAGAAGTAGAGAAAACCTCTAAGAGTCTTAACTTTCCAGCTGTCATAACACACCTGCATCAACTTAGAAATAACCAAGTTCTGTGTGATCATTCTGTATCACAAAAAACCCCTTCATTTCTTTCAGCTTACAGAATATCAGTACACAATTGTAGTTGTTTTTTTCTACCCCCTCCCCCAGAAACGCTGAAAACATACAATTCTACTGTGGAACTTTGGTACCTGAAAGTTTATAGTTTTGGTTTTCTCCCCTCTGAGACAATTTACACTAAAATACCATTTGAAAAAATGTCTTTACTATTGTTTGGGGTTTTCTCCACTGCCAATATACAGAAGAAATTCTAGAGTTGCAAAACACATGCTCTAATCCAGAGCTGCAATATACATAAACAATATTAACCAATAACAAGGCTTTAAAAAAATATAAAAGACAGGGGAAGAGAAGTTTTGCAATAAATCACAAGGACTGAGTACTAACTCCATCAGTTTTTTTTATATTCAGGATTTCAGAAGAAATATCTTACTTTATTTAAATAAAAAATTTGAAGTAGTAACTGACAACTCTTTTAAAGGCTAAGAAGACAATAAAGATGTAACTTACCAAAGTGCCAAACCCTAATGTCCAGAAATGCTCATTTCGAACTTCCAAGACACCATCCAAAGTTGAAACCTAATTTTACACAAACATCCAGAAATATGAAAATAAATTAGACTGTTTCAAATCCTTTTAGAAATGTCCTTTTTACAGAGACCTGAATGATACAGCATTTTCAGTAGAAAAATAAAAGCCTCTGTACATAGAATGGACGATGTCTCTTAATGATGCCACTAATGCTTACCTACTGTACTTTTGCTACCTTTAAACATCCAAATCCATCAAAAAAATGGATTTACATTTCAAACAACTCTTGCTGCCAAACTGCAATATTTTCTCAGCTTGATATGCTATAAGTCAACAGCTGCCTGTACTGCTTTTCCTTCCTCCACTCACATGTGTAAACCATTTCAACTGTAGCTCAAATTTAGTTAATAAAAACAAACAGCCTGCACTACTTCTAACAGATTTGTTCCAGATACCTGAATGACACTATTCATCTTAGATAGTAAGATCCACATTTTCTACATGCAGCTAAAAAATATTTAAAAAAATAATTCTTTAGCAATCTTCCTGGACTACTCACCAAACCTCTTCATATTCCTGAATGCTTATTTAACATTACCTGTGTACACTGTGTTATGTATTATACGCTGACTTACCTCTCTAAGAAGTTTATCTAACTGGCCAATCACATGAGGTGGTGTTGTCTTTAGGGAAAAAAAAAAGAAAAAGAAAAGAAAAATGTTATAATAAAGATTAACTGGCCCTGTTTAAGTCTGGTCTACCTACACGAGAGACCAATGGCATTAAAAGATAAATTCTTATGACTTCATGATAATATTTCTACTGCCCTTAAAATTCTTCTAGCACATCACAAATTCCCCTTGGAACACTTCCTATTCAAATGCTTAAAACAGATTTTACGTTTTTAGAAAATAAGGACATTTAACAAAACTGAAACCACAAAAAACCCTTGTTTTGTGACATTGCCTTACCTGTAGTAGTACTTTCCCACTGTAGACACTCATGGGATACATGGTACCAAATGTCATCAAAGCAATGGCTATAGCAGAGGCTGTGTCTACAGCGAAATAATTGCTAGAGAGAAAAGGCAATTTTAAAGAAAAACAGGTATTTACATCTTTGAAAAGCATAAGAATTTTCTTTTGATTCTTCTTCATTCTTTTAAATTATATACATTTACGGAGTATTACACATACTAATCTCATCCGAACTATAAGTCTTTGAAAAAAGACTAATATATTCATGGAGTTGCAATCCCATTCATACAAAATACAGCTTTGATAAGATCATTCCTTTCATGTAAAAAATGCCATTTCCCATAGACTGGATACAAAAAGTGTTACTTTTTTTTAAACAACTGTACATACTTGATTTCGATGAGCATATACGTAATGCAAAGAGCTAGAGCTCCTGCAATATCAATCAAGACAAAAGGGTTCATTCGTGGCAGAAAGATGCTACTCAGTCCTGGAATGATTCCACAAATACTGCAACAAAACAGAAAAAGCAGTTGTCAGCTAACTGTTCATCATTACTTCACAAACCAAAAGAGTTACACCCCCTATTTCAGCATTTGACTTCAAATACACCTTGTAGTCAAAGCAAATGATCTTGCTGAGGACTGAAAAGGCACTTCTAAATCTGCTCAAAGTTCCGTAATAGTTTGATGTCAGCAAAAATTAATCAAGTTTAGATCCACGTCACATTCTCATATCCAAAACTAATACTTACCTCTTGCACCTTAAATTTGCTTCAAGTCTACCTTCCCATCTACAAAACATTATGCTACATTAATCTTTATACAGTTTTTCTACATGTTAAAATACATAGCTTGTGCTACTTTCTATTTTCTGGTAATGTAGCTAGAGGTGTCAGCTGTACAGAACACAAGGACTTTACAGGTTCAGATACCGCTATTACATATATATAAGTCTTGGGGGGGTTTGCATATCTCTGGTCTTCAGTCCACCTGCCACCTTGGTGTGCAAGTGTTCTAAATCCAAAGCTAACTAACTCATGGAGTCTGAAAAGAGGGAGGAGATTAGCTAGCTCAATCAGAGACGACCAAAAAACCCGTAAGGGAACATTGGGAAAAGTTATTTATTTATAGTTATCTCCTATCAATGGGAGCATGAAGAGAGAAAAGAGTTTCTGTAGTTCCCAGTGAATGTAAGTGCATGTCACGTACTGGAAAATTTAAAGGAAAAGACAACATAAAATGTTTGCTGCTCTGTTTAGAACCAACCTATATTTAGATGTCATGTGTTGGTCTGCTCCTGTTAGAATTTTAATCAACATAATTATATACAGGTGCAGATATTTTGTAATCAACACAGCTTCACAGAACACATCCGAAAGAGCTGTATACATACTAACCAAATTTAGTAAGTTTTTTAAAATTGTTGGCAAAATTGTCTACAGGTTCTCTCAAAACCCAGTAGTAATTCTAGACCCTTGATCTGAGATGCCTTCAAGTTATCCATCTGTGTCCTGCCCCGTAGCACCGTGTTACACATCGTTAAAGGAAAAACTCCAATAGTGTCTGTGATGGCTGTCCATGGGGTTTTTTTAACACTGAAACTCCAGTTCTTGGGTAACCCTATTGTTAGTCTTCCAAAGCTGTTTTGCAGAATTTGGGTCTGATATGTAATACCTTATACACACATAAAATTAATTCTTCCATTTAACAAGCCAGCATTCTCTGCTTTCCTCAACTGTATACAAAAATCGCAGCACACAGGAACAGATGGGCTTTGTCTCATACTTAGCACGTTATACAATATGGTTTAACATTCTTATTTTGATACTGACAGCATAAGTACTTGGAAGAGCATGTACAGCTCAAAATAAATGTTTCTGACATCTGACAAAATTATTTGCAAACAATGTTATCTCACATTCAGATACCCAACACAAGCAAGAGAGTTAACAGATAAGATCAATAAGCAACACTGCTTCAGCCCCTGGAAGACACAGACTTTCCAGTTTCCTGCTGGATGGGAGATGAGTTTCCACAGCTATGTTTCAGTGAGTAGCCTGTTTCATACATCACATTTAAACTGCAACCATCCTAGTCATTTATCTGCCCCACAGAGTAAATAAACACAAATTACTACAAAATATATCACTCAGGCAATCACTGTTGAGAAATGCAGTTCAAGTGTGTACAGGACAAAACTAGTTTACCTCACCTCATCCAAGGAGAATTATACACAATGTGCTGAACACACTCAAAGGGAAAGTTATGCAGAAAGATGTATTTCTATTAGATGGATATATCTGGGAATTACGAGACACAATGTTTGCTCTAGTTCATGCACTAGACCTAAAGTAGGTAAAGCTATTTTAAAAGCTCTAATACACAACAGTTTATGCCTCAATACCCATCCAAATCTCGATACATCAAAACCCCCCGCTACCTTCCAAAAGCTAACAATTTTGAAAAACATTATAAAGCTTTACCTTCTACTAAGATCAGCAACGTGCTCCTGAAGCCAACTTGTGCTGGCAGCTGCAAAAGAAAGAAGGTAATAAAGTTACTACAAGTAAAGGTATCCATTTTAAAGTACACTTAAAAGTTTTATTTTGAGGGAAGAACCCAATAGACTGTGAATGAATAAATGTATTTCAACAGATTCACTGTCACTTGAAAAAACCAAAAACAAAACAACCAAAGTCTGACTTTTCCAGGCAGTAAGTAAAATGCTCATGTCTCATAATAATCTGAACTGATTAAACACAATTGCAGATTATAACCATCATAATTATCTTTTATATGAAGTATAATATATAATTGTAACTATAAACAATTTACAGTTAGTGGGAATGATTGCAAGCCTACTTCACAGTGAAAAAGTCCTAGGTAAAAGAGCTATTAAGAAGAATTAATCCATCAATTATATCCATAAAGTGTCTTCAAAGTTCTAGTATCTGTCAGATGACCTTCACTGGCTGCTTCCAAAAGATTGAAAGTAAAGGGTACTTCAGCATTAAATTGATACTCAGTTTATCGTATTAAAGACTACACACTACTTGAAGAGCCCTGTAAGCAAACTAGAGCTGAAATTCGGATGGCAATTCTAAACTGCATGAAGTTAAATTAATGGAGTTAATAGTAATATATACCTGCTAGTTAAGCAGGTTACCAGACAAATTATACCTTGATAAAAATAGGAACAATAAAATGTTTTCCCAATTCTTGTTATAGATTAATTTATCACATACCTTCAGAGACATAAGCAAAAGGCTTATTCCTAATGGAAAGCATTGTAAATAAGTTGAAAAAGAGAGCCACGAAAGTACCAACCAGCAGTCGCCCACTAAGGAGGGGGGGGAAAAAAAAAAAAAAGTATCTTTATTTCACATCATCACAAACCATGAAGTCAAGCTGTAATTACTAGTAGCAATATAAAAATGCTTTGCTTAGTATCTTTCACTGAGGTTGAAAGCAAGAGTAAGATAAGCTATTGTAATGCTCAATAACTGGCAGCGTATTATCATTTGAAGGGTTATATGAGGTCACTGAACTTCGTACCTTAGTGTTATCACATTAGGCTGTACATAACGTTCATAATGTTAAGTAACAGTTCTTAACTAATTGCATAAATGCACACACACGTTTTTCCTCTGAAGATACAAATGCATTGTCCCCTCAGCAGTAGAGCTAAAAAATTCTATAGGAAACCAAGCTTTATGCCCTATGCCCCTACCCTTTCCTAGGAGAACTACAACTTCACCATACATCTCATGTCCCAGTCTTTTGCCCCATAACAGCTTCTTTTCCTTTCCCAATATTCTTTATAATCTGCATCATCTTTGCAATACCTCCAGTTCCCTAATGATCACAGCATCCTTCCCCCCACACATACCAGGCCTCCTAGGAGGCCTCCATAAATGAGAGTAACTAAACTAGCAAAACCAGCAATACATAGTTAAATCGTTCTTTAAAAGAGCACGTGCATTATTATATTTCAATTCTACCTTGAAAAACCTGTTTGCGATATAGCTTGCACATAGACTGAAACAAATGCCAAGGTACCAAAATGAATTTGGCGTTGAATGTATTTGAATAATTAATACATGCTAGACACAAAGGCACACTGAAAAAACGATCATTTTACATGTCAAAATAATTTCTTACGTGTGTATCTCGGGTTGTTCCAGAAACCGTTCTGCACTACAAAATAATTGAAAAATTGAGTTATATTCATACAATAAAACCTGGATATCTGAAGCTTATTTTTTCAGTTCTGAAGAATTAGCTGCCATTCATAAACAAAAACTGACAGATACAGTACTGCAAAAAAATTTATTGTTTAAATAAGCACAGCAGTTTTTGTAAGTGACGAAAGCATTTAACACTGAAAAGAAGCAGGGTGTAATTTAGATTTTCCAACTATTTCCAAACTGTGCCACATAGGTGCTAGTTACCATGAATGCTGACTACACGAAAAAAAAAGACGCTTGTAAACGTACACGCCAAAAAATACTGCTACTGCCACCATAGGTGCTGGTAACCACAACAAACTAAGCCTGAAATCCCTGACTTACAGCCTCTCACTAGGCAAGGCCAAATAAAGTAGATGTTGGATACTGTGGTGGAGATACAAATTTTTTTTTACCCACTAGAAAAATAAGAAATGAGCTTCGGCTGTAACAGAAAAACCTAAGATAACTTTTGGGAATTTCCTAAAATTTATGTTTGAAAACTTGGAGGCTTTGATGGTGCATCATTATTAGAATTCATTCCAGTGTATTGTCAGTAGAACAGATCAACCTATAGTATAAAATTGCTAAGTTGTTAACATAGCCCTTGATATAGAAAATAGAACCCTTGAACAGAAAAATGGAAGGTACATTGCCCCAGTTTTACCAAAAGCCTCTTCATTTTTAAAGACTAAAATAATTTTTTAGGCTAACCTCCTGAAATACAAATGCTTCTGAGTGTAGATGGTACATCAAATTAATACTTGAGCAAATTTTGAGGGACTGATGCAGTTGACAGTTTAAACATTCATATCCTTCATATATTATGAAGTTGCTTTACTTCGTGAAGTAACTGAAGTAAAAAAGTTTTATTTTTTAATGAACTTAAAAAGTCAAGATGCATAGGGAAATGCATTAAATGAAATAACTAACTTTTCAGAAAATACAATTCTTAAGAACACTGAGTCTTTTCCTTGAAAGCTGTTTAATTTCATTTATCAATTCCTATCATTTCACCTAAAGCCTACATGTAGTGTAATCAATATAAGTGAGCAGTAAAATTTAGCAATATTTTTTAAAAAAATGAAGTTTTTTCTACAATATCTCTCTACAGATAGTATTTTCAGAATGCACGTGCTTTTGCTCAACCTAGAATATCTTTGTACGTAACAGAATATTAGAGAAAATGGTACATATCCCTACCTTTCTTTCAGTATAAAAAGAGCACCAAGCTGTGCCAGAACTGTAGATGCAAATACGGCTAGAACTTCAAACCTTTCAAACCTGAAATTTGAGAATTAAGTTTAGAAACACTGAACACTGAACAATGCATCAAACGCATTCTGGTCTGTGCAGGAACCAGCAGGACAGATCTACTGTTTCCAATTCTTTCAAGAGCAGATAGATGGGAAGAAACTGGAAGTTTGATGGAATAGGCATTATTTTCAATTTCTTTTAAGCCAACACTCCGCTTAGCACAAACAGCTTAAAATTAAGCATTTCTTAGTTTTTTTTTCCTGTCCCTCCCCTTTCCTCTCCTCCCCTATTCTGTAACTGTTCTTTACAGCATCAGTCTAGGCTCTCCTTATTTTTAGGCTCTTTTACACACAGATTGTTAGTCATGGCTGTTAGGGGATCCAGGCAATGACAGTCAGCAATGGATCAAATGTTGTATTACCAAACACTGGATCTTGTTATTAGTACTTACCCAAATGAATAAACTGGGCTGGGTTTCTTCATCATTACCCAGTAGCTTATTAGACATGTTACCAAACTGAAAAAAGGGGGAGAATTAAGACTATAAATAACTACAGCCTTTACAAACTGGACAATCTACAAATACACACTTCAGCAATCAGAACTGAAATTAATATAACCGTGTTTTACCATGAACAAAACACCTCCATCACCATCACAACAAAGGTTCCAGTGAATCCAGAAAAGGTTGCTCTTGGGAATAAAAGTGAGACTGCACAACGATGTCTCAGCTGTGCCCATAAAAAGGGCAGCAAATAATTTTAGTGGAATGGTAGTCGGTCTAATTCCTCATACCAGGAGACAGCCTAATGCTGGACTTACAGCATGCTGTGCTTACAAAGGCTACCACCAACCTTCTTCAATACAGAACATCACTCAGTCTAAATCAAGTCTACCATACCTCCAAATGCAATGCATTTTTCCACTGAGGCCCTGACACAAAACAGCACAACCAGTGTTTAATCTGGATGCACTCCATGGATTTTTCTGGAAGGGACCTGGAGCACGTGAGACCGGGTACCCCAAAATCTGACTAACAGGCAAAGGTGGTTTGAGAAAATCATTTTAATACTGTCTGGTATCACATACAGTAATGAAAAGTACAAAGCAAAAGCCTATGAAAGTATTAAACTAGACACCCAGAAAATGCTCTTCTTACAATGTGCTTTATGAACTTACTGTAACCTGAGAAAGGTAATTTAAATGAGAAGGAACACGATAAGCAAGCCGACAGGACTGACATATTTACATCACTTCCTTTGTATGATGGTGAAAAAGTGAAGAAAGCTCTCCATTAAGCTCTTCTTTGAGAGATATACCATGAATTAGATTTAGTGCTCTAGAGTAAGTCTCAGGCTATGCCAAGCATTATCTTTCTTTTCCACAGTGTAATTTGTCTACATATATGGCCCAAACAGATTTACTTTTTTTGGCTGCATCCATCTGCACAAGCTCTAATCTAACTGGCCATTCACTGACAGCCACAGGTCTCTCTTGCTCTTTGCTTTCCAAGTTTTTCTCTCATATTGAATGTCTGAAATTCCAATTATTTTATCCCCATGGTACTAGCCTGAATTTTTCTAGGATGAGTCTCATTTCCTTTGCCCGTTTTTCCTCCATTGACCCCTTTGGATAATTTCTTTTATTAGAACCCATCCATATTCTGTGCCATCTGTGGCTTTCTGTAGCCCTTTCTTAATTAAAGACGATGTTAAATCACACTGGATCAAGAAGTCATCCCCAGAGCTGCAGAACAATCACATCCTCACAACCTGATCCACAGCTGCATGGAGTAAAAGCAAAAGCAGAGGAAATAATACTGCTCATATACAAACCAGTAAATTCACATACTCAGCAAGACTATTATGAACGACCAGGAAGATGACAAAAATGAAAGAACCAGAAATGGATTTTTGCAGCAGAATTACTGAGCATTGTTCTCCCTCACAGCAAATCAAAACTCTTGAAAGAGGTGGCTGTGAGACAGAATAATCTAGTCCATCCCCTAATTAAGCTAATATGCAAGTGCCAAGGGTATTTCATCTTCTAAAACTAAAAAAATAATATTCTATACAAATATGAAATACGTCAAAACTTTCCCCAAAGTGAAAAAGGTTTTTTGAGTCAAGATGACAAAACTTAGCAGATACAAAATCCTAAGAGAAATGTAAGATTTATTAAAGTTGTATCACAACTCCAATGCAGTCACAGATCAAGTTAAGCATCTTTGTGCCTATATTAACCATTCATTGTCCTTTCTGCATGTTTGTTGCTCTTATTTATAAATGTTTTACTATCAGTGAGATAAGCTGTATTACGTAGTAGGCAAATCAGACTGCAGATAGCTGATCGATACTTTTTATAAGCTAGTGAGCTAGCAAGGAAGATAATGTAGGTTAATAATTAAAAAAAAAAAAAAAACATGTGTTTTATGCAGTTGATTTCCCAACCGGTGCTACCAACCTGCATCTCAGGTAAGAACTGAATATATTTCATGTCCTATTATCAATATTAACAAAAGTGTTCAGAACTTTCATACCTAAAGTAATTTTAATATAATGTTATTAGGAAACAGGAAAAATATTAAAAATATCTAATGACCTTACTGGAAAAGTGCATGGGATCTAGCTCTTGAAATATTTTGAAACAGAGACAGGATTACATACATACATGTTTCCTGATGCTAAAACTGAGGGATACTTCAGAACCAATGACTGTGGCACTAGGGACACGTTCCGAGTGAACCACCAGTTTGATGCTAGATTCTGTTTTATGTTGTTAGGCATCTGCACAGAGAAATCCGTGACTGAACTGATTCTCAGTCTAGCTATGGTGTTTCTCATCATCTTTTTATTTTGATTTACAATTTTATACTCATTTCAGCTACATTTAAACCAGTTAGTATTTCTATACTGATGACTCTAAATAACATTTGTAATGTAATATAAGTTTTGTATGTATAGAAATATACAGACAGGCACAAATGAACAGTAAGACTAAATGGGAAAAAAATCTCACCTGAAAAGGTCAAAGATTGTCAAATATGTGTAAGCAGTTAAAGCTGTAAAAAAAAGCAAATATTAAATCAATATAATTTTTTCAATGCAGAAATCCCTTGTATCCTTCTAAGTCTCTCTTGTGCAGCTCTTTTTCATCTTCTGTCTACATAAATTGTCCCTGCTGATAGAGCAAGCCTGTCTTTTGTATGTGTATATAATATGAACATCCTAAACATACCAATATATTTAACTTCATAAACAGTTTGACTATGGCAATTCTAATAAATTCTAGTAATTCTAAAAAATCCTAATAATTCTAATAAAGCATGCAATAATGCCCAGATACAAAAGGTATTAAGCTTGTGACTAAGAATTTAAATACAGAAAAGTGAGATCTTCTGAAGATCATCTGCTGAAGCAAGAGATCTCTCATGTACATTACTGCAGTAAAAAGTAGGTTCAACAGAATTTTGTAGTTGTTTTGCTTCTCTGACCCATCTTGAAACTGCAAGAAAACCTGTGTCACAAATCAAAAATGTCAGGTATTCTACTTTCAGTACAGATGATGGGAGGCATCTTGGAGC